AATGGTTTCACTATTTTAAACATTCAATATACTATAGTCATGAGAAAAAAATCAGTGGTAAAAGAATTGGAATAAATTTAAATTCTCAATGTGTGGAAGGCAAGGCTTGTAAATTAAGTATTAATTATTTTATATGCTATGACCTTTCAAGAAGTAGACAATCATGGCTCACCACAATTTCCTGTTCTAAATAACTCTTGCCTTTATTATTTTTTTTAACTCTACTTTGCATATTGTATTTGTTCTATCGATGACTTATTCAGACTTCTTAAATAGGCTACTTGCCTTTTCCCAAACTTCTCTTGCCTTCAGTATACCATGAGAGTATTTAATTCCATGAGCCTTCTTTCCACATTTCCAAAAAATTTCAACAGTCTCATTGTTACCATGATATTTCTTTGTAGAACCATGTCTGCCACATCAGGTTTCTTCATCTGTGAGGAAATTTTCCAATATTCACTAATATACAAAAGATCAGATACTGGATTACAGTCAAGCACTCCTTTGTTTCTAAATACATTTTCTGATCTCTTAATGTCACTCAGTTTCTGAAAATCATCTTCTGCCATTCCTATGTTCTTTGAATTTCTGTCACTCATTCCATCATCTACCCAGATAGTTAAATTTCTACAAGCCAAGTGTTTCCTGTAGCAGTTAAATCATTACATTTGTCCCAGTATCTTTAACAAAGCCACACTATTTTTGCTCTATTTCCACTCTCGTTCTACTATGATCACTATACATGAGAATCCTAATGATTAGTCACATAGCTTTGCTATCATTTCTAAACTACATCCTCACAAAGCATGTGGACTTGATGGTATCCCTGCAATAGTCCTTAAGAAATGTGCTTCTGAACTGGCTTCTGTTCTCTCTAAACTCTATAATAAATACCTTACTGCTTCTTGCTTTCCTGCTTATTGGAAATCCTTTTCTGTGGTTCCAGAACTCAGGCAAATTATATCCTTCTAACTATTGGTCTAGTAGCATTCTACCTCTTTTTGGCAATGTACTAGAAGTTCTAATTAACTCTGAATTGGTTAAGCATATCACACTGCAGTGTCTTTTTCAGATAAGCAATATGGCTTTTGCTTCTCTAGGTCAATTGCTGATATGTTAATGATTATTGCTGAAAGAGTCTATCAAGCTTTAGCTAAAAAGGGTGAAGCTCGGGCTGTTGCTTTGGATATCTCAAAGGCATTTGATAGGGTTTGGAATACTGGTCTTCTTCACAAGTTGAAAGGTTATGGTATTTCTGAACAAAGTTTTGAACTGATGCAGTCTTTCTTAGCAAATTGAGAAATGAAAGTTGTGCTAAATGGCCATTCTTCTAGATCTTTTTGTATAAATGCAGGTGTTCATCAGGGCTCTATCCTTGGACCAACATAGTTTTTTAATTTTCATAAATAATCTTCCTAATGTCATCAGTTCTCAACTTGGTATCCATGCTGATGACTATTTACTCCTGTCTTAATAATAAGTCTGATTGGTTCAATAAGGTTAAATTGGCAGCTGATCTCAAAAATTGCCTACAATCTGTTGTTAAATGGAGCAAATAGTGGTTTGTTAAATTTAATGCCTCAAAAATGAAACTGCTCTCTTTTGTCTGAGAGAACCCTTTTTAACTCACATCAGCATGGCAGATGTTAACTTCAAGGAGAGAGAATCATTGTGCCTACTTGGACTAACATTTTCAGCTGACATGAAGTAGAAAGGATATATTGAATCAATTGATAAGTTTACAACTAAGAAAATTAGTTCCCTATGTTGCACTAGACAATTTTTCTTGACAGAATCTATCTTACATATTTCTAAGTCTATCATTCATTCTTGCTTTGAATATTGCTGCCACATCTTGTCTGGTTCTCCTGCTATATATTTAAAGATTCTTGTTAAAATCCAAAGAATTTGCAATGTTATTGGTCCTGACCTGGCATCTCAGCTTCAGTCCCTTTCCTTTTTCTATAAATACTTTCATAGTAATTGTTCTGATAAAATTTCTTCTATGGTATTTAAGACTTTATGAATTTATATGCAGAACTAGATTGGTGGCAAAGTCTCATCATTTTACATTTGAATTGGCTTGATGTAACTAAGTTTTATGTTAAAAGTTACTTCTATCATGCTTCTCACTTGTGGAGCTCTCTTCTGGTTTCTTGCATACCAGTCAACTTTGATCTTCAAAAATGTCAATTGTTATCTTCAATCTTCTTAATTCTCATTTTTTTATTGTCCTCTCTCCTTAATAGTAGTTTTTCTCATATTCTCTAACCCTTTGCATCCTAGTGACTTTATTGTCTTGCTTTGGGTGAAATGATTAAAAAAATATATCAAGATGGTGGTCCAAAGTAATGTGTATGCACTTACTTTTTTTGCCTGCTCTATGAATGTTGATCTACTCTCACCCTTGTTATACATTTAATTTATCACTTTGATAAAACCATATCAATCCATAAATCATCTAAGCCTGCCAATCTCATTTGGTTCTACTGCTTTGTTCCTCTTCATCTTGGCCAGTGTTAACCTAACCTCAGATTTTAATACTACATGTCCTTCTATTTTGTATTGTCATAGAAGAGTTTGATGTATTTGTTCCAACTCTGTTATTTGTTTAGATTATATACATCTTGCCAAAGACGTTTCCTGCCCTACTATTTCTTTTATCTTTTCATGCATGCCTTCTATATCCTGCAATTTTTCCATCTCTTCACATTTCTCATTGAGCCATTCAACCTTTGACCTTATGTTTATGTTGAAGCAACTATACATGTGCACGAACAAGAGACACTAGGAATTTTAAATTTAAAGAACAAAACAAGTCACACAAAAAATTTTTCCACTGTCATACTTCTTTTCCCTTAAAATTGTTCTTGATATATAAAATAAATTATATATTGTTATCCCATATATATATATATATATATATATATATATATTCAATATTTCCTGTCATTTGGTGCATTTTACAAATAATCACAACCAAAATTAATTCTCCAACCACTCATAGAGCAATAGCTTCATGTTAATCAGTTATTAATTAATCATGTTAATAATTATTACATATTTACATAAATTATTTTACAAGCATAACTTAGTGTATACATTTTTTTTAAATCATTTTAATTCTTGTTGCCATTGATATTCTCAAATATTTGTCAATCACTGGAGAAACTCAAAACACTATTCTCTTATTTGAAATAAAATTATTAAACTAAACAGTAAGCTACCCTGCACTTACCTCTTGATAAACAAATTCCTTAAATTATTGGAGAGTTCCCGATTAACTAATTAAAGTAATAAAATTTATCCACAAAAGCAAATAATTCTCTAGGTAGATCAGGCAGTACTATCAAGTAGAATGTAAAATTTTATCAATATTTTTGTATTAAAGCACAAGAAATTATTGTTAAATATGGAGGTTTGTACTTATGTTAACTTTCAAAATAAACATGCTTCTAATAATTCCTGCTATGAACATGTGTATCCTGTTGAACAAGTCCTTCAGTTATATGCATCATGTTAGTTAGCATTTAGTATATTTGCAATGTTTTGAAATTAAATTTTGAATTTTGATTGTCTACAAGCAATCTGCATCTAATAACAGGAAACTTTAAATCTCCTATTTTAATATGCAGAAGAGAGTCAAAATGAATCAAACACATTGTAGGTTTCAAATAAGAAAACACTAGTCTTACTTAGTATATCAAGGAAAGAGAGAATTAAAGAATAAAACTCATAAAAGAATAAAGAATGTATCACATCCACGCACTACAAATCACTTCTTTAATTTTAAGAGCAAAATACTTAAATTTTACTTCGATGGTAACGGTAATGGAACTTCAGATTACCTGACCACGTCAAAGTAAAAAAAAACAGTATCAAAGAAATTTATTTTGTTTGCACAAACTTGTTGAGAATTGGTAGATCATTGAGGTGACTTGACTATGAAAAGAAATGTTTTGCGATCTAAAATGGCAGATGAAAATTTAGAAAATACCACTACAAAGAAATTTTAAAAAACCAACAAGGAAAAAATTTTTATTTTTGGTAACAATACGAAAAAGAACTAAGTCTAAATGATAAAATACAAATTTAAGGATTTTTTCCAGTTCAAACAAAATTCCAAACGGAAAGAATTTACTTTACCAAAAAAAAAAAAAAAAAAAAAAAGAATTTTTTAGAATAGAAAGCGAAACTATAAGTAACTCGTACTTAAAGGAAGTTAAAAAGTACATTCTGGTACTGAAATATTTATCAGTGGATTTTTTAGAAAATTACATACTTCATACAATTAGACTTGTTTTTAAATCAATGAAAAGAATCACGGTTTTTTAAAAATTTTTAAGAAAAAAAAAAAAAAAGAGAGAAACGAAAAAGGTCCAATTTATGAATTTATTAACGATTTTTAGGGTCAAGACGAAAACACAACACTAAAAAAAAAAAAGTTGGGGGAATAAAACATTGTACATGACAGAGTCACTGCCAGGAGAATAAAAAGTTGACAATGTAACTTTTTCTAAAGTTCACTTTAGTTAGACAAGGCATAAGAGTAAGACATATTTTTTAAAATATCTATATAAATTGATTAAGAAGGGTGGTACCCAATTCAGTGTTATTAAAATTCAAAACCCAGATGGACAACAACAAATAATTGGAAGTCAAATAAAGTTTTGAATACCTGATTCCGAGCTTAAAACACTTAACTCAGAAACCGAGACATTTTAATTGGACATTTCAATACTTATTTTATTAAAAACGAAACAGTGTTTGTGTCTTTATTAAATATTTAAACATAAATCTGATAACTATAAATGTTTTTACAACACACTTCTACCGATTCATAGCAAAAAAAAATGTAATGTACAGATGTCAAATGAGGATCCGAAAAAATTTATAATCCTTCATCTACAATTTAGGAAGCAAGATGCCACTTTATTGAAGAAGAGTCTTCATCGTGTTAGTCTGATACTAAAGGTACTTATTAATTATATTATTCTTACCTGTCTGTTTTTCCCTCAAGGAAGCTGACATTTTGGTACAGCTGCTTACGACGCCTGCGTGAACGTGGCACAAAGAAGAGTTCCAAAACAAGGGACGTTATTCTCATTCCACGCACTTAGTTCAAACTTCTGAGTTCTACCTTATGGGCCTAATCGAATCTTTCTGGGCTTTTTTTTTCTTGAAGTACAGCTTTTTCCTCTATAATGTTTTGACATTTCACCCGTCACATGTGATAATGAATCTGTTTTTGCATGTCGGTTTTTCAACTGTTTTTCAATTTATGCACATGCACTATTTTTAACTTATTATTTTTTTTATTTTTTAAGTTTTTGGAATGACATCCATCCCGCTTCCAGCGACCGCCACGTCAACATTTCAAACTTTTAAAAATCAGTTCAACTTTTAGTTTTTTAACCAAATGACGTATGTGGAAGTATCGTAGATCTTCTTACAAGTAGAAGATTAGCGTCGAGAGAGGTTGACACGCAGTAATTTGGTTTGAAATTTTTTAAAATAATAATTTAAAAAAATGTTTTTTCTGATGACGCCGGATTATGAGCAAAATGTCAAATTAATTATTGTTTCCAAATTATCTTGATTCCATTTTTAGAGATTTCCCAAGTATTTTTTTTTTTTTTAATTTTGATTAATTTATTTTATTAAATATACCTTCTTTCAGTGTTTTAATTCTAAATAGCAAAACTTTTTTTTACTTTTTCTGTTGGTTATTCTTGATAAAAAAAAAAAAACTAACACAAATATTAATTTTCTAAAAACAAGTAAATGTTTGTTTCAATTGAAAATTTACGAGATGCAAATTTAATTTAACTATAAGTACTCGTGAAAATTTAACCGGTTTTCCTGTTTTGATTTTTCTGATAAGTTAATTAATAACAACCATAGACGATAAAATTATATTATCGTAAAATTTGGCGTCTTTTTCATCAGACGATGCTCTTTTTTTAGCGATTTCGTGGAGGTACCTAACACGTTTTATTCAAAGTTTGACTTTCACAAGATAAACCTTTATGTAAAACAAATATACCAATTTGTTAATTCTTGCATAGTACTTTGCATACAATTTTCTTAGTAATAATTCTCCCTCGTTTGTTGGTATCCAAAACATCAGATGATCTGCAAGTTTTTCTTTCTTTTTCTCATTAAAACCAGACGGTGTCTCTGGTATACCTTTTTCTTTCATTTTTCCTCACAGTCAAAATGGAAACTTCTTTATTTATCTGAGGTTGTAACAGACATTATGAAGAGAGGAACACATAGTTATGACTGCGATAGACTTTTTTGCCATTGAAAACATTTATTAATTTTAAAGATCAACAATTTTTAAACCGACATGTAATTAATAATTAATTTTTGGTACTACTATAATGTGCGGTCTACTTCATTTATAGAATGCAGCCTGCTGCACTATGAATTATGACTTGACCTCACCTCTTATGCTGTCCACCTGCAGTCTACCACGATAACTTCTACCATCATCTCACTTCACATCTTGTGTGCACTGTCCACATAAGAGGAAGGAAATGGAGCTCCCACATTAGAATCCCTCTAGGTTTGAAACTGTTTAACATCAACTGGATTATCTCCATCAGATAAAAATGTTGCTGTTTTTTTATTCATCTTGACTGAGGAAACAGCAGTCACATTTTTACAAGAGAACAATCTGCTAGATACACTATAGTGTTAGATAGCGCAGTAGCCTGTATACTATAATAGTAAATGAGGTAGACTGCATGCTATAGTGTTTCATACCATGGTAGACTACATACTATAGTAGCACCTAACTTTTTTTAAGTTTGGTTGCATGGTCTTCTTAAAATTTACTCAGTGTTTAGTGTCATATAAAAAATTAAATTAAAAATCTTCATTAAATAAGTACAAGTTTTAATCAATCTTCCAAAGTTATTTCTTCAGCTTAGCTTATTTTGTCACAAGGCCATAAGTATAGGGCAGCCAGTGAAGATCAAACCCAATAATAATGGTCAACCAGACTAGTCTGCTTGTTGAGGTCTGTCTACTCATGTTTTTTTTATGCTGAGTGTCAGAATTCCAAACAACAACAACACATCATTTTTAAATGAAACATGAAAAAGGTTATTTTCTGAAGGAAAAGTAGAAGCAGGACGTCTATTGAAATAACATTTATATATTCTTTTCAAAAATATACAATAGCAATAAAATGTTCAATTTTCCCTGCAGGGAAGTTTGTTTTATAAAGTAATTAAATATTCTTAATGCCGTGTGAAATGTGTGATCAGACTTACTTACGACAGTCAGCCTAATGTGTCTGTGAGTTCATAGGTAAAGGCTTAGCAGGCGGTTGCTGGTTAATCCTTTCTGTTGTGTGCATGGACAAGGCCTTAGTGGCTGCTGTCTCTCTTCCATTGTATGTGTGTGCATGCACATCTGTAGATCAAATTTTGAGCCTTTTAAGCTTCTATTTTTATATCTGTAAGGGGATTCAAAATTTAATTTCACATAGAGGTGTGAAGTTTTAGAATACAAGGTTTTCATTAGTTTCACACAGGCTCACAAAAATCTTTATCTCGAATTTGAAGGTGTGGTGAATGGAGTTATTGTAGAGGTCACTTGCCTCTTGAATTTGTATTTAATGCATAATACCACAAAATCTGAAACAATAAGAAGGAACACAAAACATAACAAGAATATTCATATTTATGTATGTCAATGATATACAAGCAAAATAATTAGGAACTACTTCCCTTTGACTGGAATCAAAGTCTTTACTAAGGAAATATTTTTATCTGAGCTCATAAAAAGTTGAATGAACTTGCCGCTCAAAATGTTCACCATGAGAGAGTTGAAAGAATTCTGTAAAGCTGAGAATATGTTGATAAACTTTTAGCTCCAGAAGAGATGAAGGAGTGAATGTTCTGTAATGTTTATTTAGTTTCCTTTGCTTGTAGTTGAATATCATAATATGTTGATACTTGTAATGTTTTGTTCGTACGTGCATGTGTGTGATGTTTTCATAGCGTCCACCTGCAAGGGTCGAAACGTGATTTCTTAAACAGCTGCATTTTAGTAAGGAAAAATCAAAAAATGGAAGAGCAAACTTGTGTCTGGTATTTATAACAAACGTGATTGGCTCCAGAAACCATTTCTGATTTTTGGCAGAAAAATGGTTTTGAAGGCGTTGTACAGACATAGGTGAGAACATGATTTAAATATTAACTGATCAATGAGAAGTGAGAAAAATATCAAGGCTCTGTGATCCACTTTTTGCACAGATTTGCACAAAAAATTGACATTGATAGAAAAGTAGTAGCAGGATACTAAAATACTCCCCGCAGATTAGAAGTTGCATGAACAAAAACTTTCAATATGTAAAAAGTTATAAACTGAACAGAGAAAGTGTCCAAAATGGTTGATGCTTGTGACAGTTGAAGACGTGATTTCTGAAATGTTATCAGATGAAAAGTTGCCAAAAGTATGTGCATTGTCAGGGTTTGGTTTATTTTATTTTACGGCATATCAACCTCAATGGGTCATTTAATGCTGACAAATATTTTTATTGCTGGTAATATTTTGTTTTGTCAAAAATCTGTTTCTGGTAATATATTTCCTTCAAAATTGTATTGCTGGTAATAATTTTTTTTTTTTTTTTTTAAAGTATTGCTGGTAATAGTTAACTATTTGCCCATAGCTGGGACCCTAACAAGTGCTACCACCCCGGGTCAGGGTGGACCTGGGAACACCAGCAGTTAAGGGGTGGTTCCACGCTCCTCAAAACCTCCTGATCAGAGGCCTTGCTTCTGGATGTAGTTTAACATCTTACCCAGGACACACATTGTTCAGGGTGCTGAAATTATATTCAGAATGAATGTATAGCACACTCCGAAAGAATTGGCGTTGTATGTGTCAACGAAGTGTACACATGTCTTCAGAGTGAATTGCTGCAGGCCAATGCTGTTATGTTTAAAATTTATAGCATCATGGGGAAGTTGAAAAAATTTGCGTATTAGTGATAACTAAGTAATATTTAGTAAATATCGTCAACAAATTTTTATAGTAAAGTTACGTCATGTAGAATGCAATTCAGGACAGTAAGTTGTCCAAAGAATCACTTAATATCTTCAGCGTAAAAAAATTTTGTGCATTAAAAAGCATGGTAGTTAAGTTGAAATGTTGATAAGCAATGGCGTAAAATGTTGCATGTGGTCTCTATGACACGGTTTTCGTGCTTAATTATTAAGAATATTATGCTGGATTTCAAAGATCAATATTGTTAATTGAGCAAATTAAAATGCTTTATAATGTTCCTTTTGGTACAAAATATACAATGCAAAAATAAGAGTTGTTTACCCTTAACAATGATTTCACAATGAAAAAAAGTTTTTTTGTTTTTTTTTTTTTTTTTACAAGAAATGTTCTTTATGAAATAGTTGAAAGTTTTTGTGTAATATGAATACTGTGAGAATTTGTTTGGTAAAAAGGAACTTTAAATTATTAATTGATGTTTCAAGAAGTTTTTGTTTTGTACTAAATGAAATTTACTTTGTGTACTTCTGAAAATAAATACAATAAATCTTGCCACTAAAAGAAAATGTTCACCAAAGAGTAAATTCTGTTGAATAGAACTGAGTGAGAAAGTTTCTTTTAAATTATGTCCTGAAAAGCTGAAAATATGTTCAGTAAACTTGTAGCTTCAGAAGACTTTTTAAGTATTTTCTTGCGAGTTAAGAAATGGAAAAAACTGAAATATCCAATTCATTATTGGAATTAAGTTGTACTTCTATGTCCATACTGTGTCTGCCAATTAAAGTAGAGTAAATGCCGTATTTAATGAGTGTAGAGCTGAATATCTGCATAATTGTCTGGTTGTAGATAATGTGACATTTTTATTGTTTTATTTAGATATGTTTAAGTCAAATGCTTGTTTAAGATAAACAGTATTAAACAGAGCATTTGCTTAAATACTTGTATCTATAAAATAACAACGTTAAACATAAATAAAAATGTCTTTAATAAATAAATTGTCGGACCTTGTC